CTATACATAGCTTATTATGTATACTGAATCACATTGTGTAAAGTTATGTATACTGTATCACATTGTGTAAAATTATGGACACACACAGGTAGATTCACAAAAAGCATGTATTTCCCAGTACAATGTAGCTATGGAAACCGATAGGATCTGTTCGTATTAAGGCCAATTCTTATGATTATCTTTCCGAACAGGAAGCTCTAGAGCAGAAACTGGCAGACGTATGTTAGTCCAGAGCACAGGAGTGGCGGCTGTGGGTGCGCACGGCCTTGCCCGGTGCTGGCTGCAGCTCCACTGTCTCGCCAGGCGCACAGGGCGCTGCGGAGCGCAGTGGGCCAGCCTCTCCGCGTCTCCTGAGCGCAGTCGGTGCGCTCACGGCTACCTGGCCTCTGACTCCCACGTGTCACAGCTACTCCTCATTTTTCAACTACTTCAACATACAGATGGCGTTCTCCCTTGAGAGCCATGCACGCAGAGGGCTTTGCCCAGTTGCCTGTGGGCACAGTGCCACCTCCAAGATGGACAGAGGCACGCTCAGGGCTGGCGGTGAATTAGGCAGCCCAAGCCTGTGCACTCTCTCTCTCATTCACACACACGCACACACACACACACACACACGCATACAGCCCCCCCGTGTGCACAGCTGAGACGCATCCTCCTGACCAGCAATAAGGACCCCAGCCCCACAATCTCTCTCTCTCTTTCTCTCTCTCTCTCTCTCATTTAAACACACACACACACACACACACACACACATCTGTGTGCACAACTGAGACCATCCTCCCTGCCAGCCCCACAGTAGCTCTTAGCAGTTAGAACTCAAAGATGACTCCAAATTTCTGCATAAGCCTCAACTCTTCCATCTCACCTTTCTACACAGAGCACATTTGAGTTGCGAATGTGGGTTCTCTGACCCCGACATTGACTCTGTTGGTGGAACAAAGGGAGGAGGAGATGTAACTGTTTTTGCGGCCCTGTCTGGCATGTTAGCAGCAGCCGCGACGACAGTTGTAGCTGCAGAACCTCCGTTCCTGCTGGAAAGCCTCCTCCCACATCAAGATTAGAAGGCGCAGCTTCCACGTCCTTCTGACTACACTCAACTACCCACCACTTGAGTGACTGGGGAAATTTACTTAGACACTCTGGGCATCAGTTTACCTAAATTTGTAGATGAAGCTTTTTGTTTGCTTGTTTACAGATTTCTTTTCCCGGTGAAGATGAGAGAGAGTTCTTCTTGTTACAAACAATGCTTTGCTGAGAAACTGCAGGAGATAAAATTTTGTTGGAGGTGTGGGAAAATTCCAGAAAGATGTGTGAAGTAGGGATTAAGCAGATTTCACCAATAAACTCACAGTTGTATTGATTGAGTCTTATGGTAATTCAGTATTTTGGATAAATTCAACTATAGTCTTTTGTTTTTAAATTATTTTCTGGAAGCTTCCCCAAGTCAGCCAGTTAAATGGCATGTGGTTTAGATTCTATTTCTATCTATCTATCTATCTATCTATCTATCTATCTATCTATCTATCTATCTATCTATCTATCTATCTATTTTTTGTCAGTCATGGGGCTTGAACTCTGGGCCTGGGTGCTGTCCCTGAGCTCTTTAGCTGAAGGAGAGAGTTCTACCACTTGAGCCACAGCACCACTTCCTGTTTTCTGGTGGTCAATTGGCAATAAGAGTCTCACAGACTTTCCTGCCTGGGCTGGCTTTTCTCTATGATCCTCAGATCTTAGCCTCCTGAGTAGCTAGGATTACAGGCGTGAGCCACCAGCGCCCAGCTAGTCTCTATTTCTTTGAAAAAAAGAAATTCCATAAAAGCTGTGAATTAAGATTTAGATCCTGAAGGTGGTGCTATAATTCCATTTTGAAATGGTTCTGCTTTCCTTGTTCAACTTGTGCCAAAAAATGGAGGTCTTTGATTTGTTTTGTTTTTATTCAGAGGTAATAGAATTGAACTATTTTGCGTCTTTACTTTTGTGTTTTATTATTATAATGGTAGAAATTGTCTTTACTATCAGAGAAATCTACAACAGTCACTCTTGGTGAATGCTTAATGCTTGCTTAGACCAAGTAATAATCAACTTTTATGTCTTTTTTTTTCTTCTGGCTTCCCTTTCAGCATTCATTTGTCTGTGGCTTCTAATCAGCTTACGTTGCTCTTGCTGTTCTTAAACAAAATTGCTGCTCTGAGAATTGGGTGGCAAAGAGCTCAGGGGAAACAACTCCATATGAGGACTATTTCAACTTTAGTTTGTAATAATCAGTTAAAAAAAAGATTTCCTGGAATTAAGCCACAGGAACTCTGGCTTAAGTCAGAGCTGTCAACTCGGGAACAAATTTCCAGACATTTTAAAATTTAATTCATTTAATTTTTCTTGTAACTGGATTAGAAAATATGATTAAGTGCAGCAAGATATCTTTTACTGGATCAGTCTAACTCTGAAAGCAGCAAATAGATCCTAAAATCTTAAAGTAGAAAAAAGGAAGAAGGTTTTGGAGCTGTGTTCCCTTTAGGAATGATTGTATTTTAGAAAATAGGAGAATACACATGCCAGATTTTTTTTAAATAAATAAATAAAAGGAAGGATAGCATTTTGCCTTCTTTCCTATGAAGTTCTTCAGATAGCTGCATTTTTATCGTAAATCCTCATTGAATGTGTGCTAGGAGATAGTGAGTTAAAAACTCACAAATAGAAATGAACTATCAAAGTGCTATTTGAATGTTTTTCAAGTAATTCTTTGAGGCAAACTATCTGCAAAGTGAGTGAGTCAGGAATGTTTGAACAAACACTGATGTGGATGTGTGTATTGGAGTGGGGATGGGAAATTCGAAATAATTCAATGAAAATAAGAATAATTTTTAAAGAGGAAGACAATCGCAGTCCCTGGGGGCATGCTGGCAAAAAATCATTTTAGGACCATTTAATATTGTGTATGTTAAATGAATTGGTAATTACATTTTATACACACATGAAATAGCAATACTGTGATTGTTTTATACAAGATTGTTCATATTATACTATCTCAGAGAAAATCTTTGAACCTTTGCTGAACCTTTTTCCCCTAGGATTAGCTTTACGTAAAGGAAGTATATTGACAAGAAATGTGAACATTTATTTTTAGTAGCTTTTAAAATTAGGATGGATTTCAGGAAAGACTAAGTCAGGTCTACAGTAGTACAAAAGAAAAAAGAATAGAATAGGAGAAGTGATGCTTTGTAATAAAGGAGAATACCACACCCTGAGCATTGTGAACAGGATTTTTTTGTTTTGCTTTCCATCTCTGTTTCTGTATGCAGTCCTTACTTTTCAGAAGCAGCCCTACAGCCCTAGCTTTCACATGACAACTATTCCCTAAATTCACTGCAACTAATTCACTATTAAGGCATTTCATACTAATTCGATACCTCTGTTTTAAAAGTGGTTTTCCTCTTTTTATCTTACATCTCAAAGTTACTCACTATCAATTTCTATAAATCAGACATGACGACAATTTAATATGAACTTCAAGACCTATTCATCCCATGAGATTACGACTGTGACGTCTTTCAGGGAGCTTTGTGATTGCTCAGCCCTAAACACCAGTCCTATAAAACGAGGGACGTTGAAATGCTGGTCAGGGTGGACTGCAGAGCCAAAGCTGCCAAGAGCAGCCAACCCTTAGCTAGTACCAGGGGCTGAGCACTGGTGGAGCCAGTCCAGGCCTCGCAGGACTTCAGCACCCAGGACAGCTCTCCAACACGCCTCAGAAGACAAGACTCTTCAGAACACCATACTTAGCAAGGTAGGTAGAAACTTTTCCTTTCTCCTTTTTCTTTTCCTGCATCTGGAACTTTTCTCAGAAGATATTGAATTTTCTTCCCTCTTGAAAAGAATTGTACAGTGTTCCTCTTTTGCAATAGCAAAAGATAACTTTCTCTAGTCACCTGGTAAGAATAGAAATGTATCAATTTCTTTCATAAAAATGGGTTTTCTGACTGATTATGGTTGGAAGATTCTTTATCTTGCTGACTCCTTTACTAAGTCTGATTTAAAAAAAAACTCACTCAAGTAGGTTTTGTTTGCTTGTGTAGAGGTTTTTGATGGAAGGACCTGGCATATTGGTTAACTTCTCAACTTATTTTAAAGAACTATTTTATGTGTTGTTTAAGTGAAACTAAATCTAAGGGATTAAAGAAAAAACTTAAGGAATTAAGTTTCAAACGCTTTCATTTCTACAGGCAACATAACAAAAAGAAGTAAAACACCTGCTTTTTAAAAAAAATCTAGAAACAATTTAGAAATGAAATGTGCTAAGTAGAGCAAATGTGAGAAACACAAGCTTTGTTTTTTAAGTATGTTTTTCTGACTACAGTACAATTTGTTGTGACAGGTGCTGTTCGGTGATTTGGGGGTATTCATTTTCATTCTTAATTGAGTTAAGTTGTTTTAACCCAGGCTTAAGGAAAAAAGTTCCCAGTACTACTGAAGGAATGAAAAAGAAATATTCCTGAAAAATCATTTTTATGCTGATGTGTATCTACATATCAGATTCATACTCACATCCACTTGACTACACATGCATATATACATAATTTACCAAAGTAGCAAAGTAATTAAATAGCTACCCAAATTTTATGGCAATCAGACACTACATTTCAAGTTAAAAAATCACTTCTTGAAGCTATTACCATTACCCAAAAAGATAATAAACGTGGATGCCACCGTTCTTATAGAAATACTATCTCCCAAATGATTTCCAGGACAACTGAAGCATGACATCCAATATTCACTCGGGTCAAGTACGTGTCTGGCAAGCGAGGGCAGCAGACAATACGGATCCTAATCGTTACACAAACATCTGCCACTAGAAAAAATGTTGATGGGGAAGTCACTCTATCTATTGGAGTTGAGCTTTTCCTTGAATATGAAAGTTATTCTTCCTAACTCAGAAATGCTAGATGTTTAGAATTGCATGTGCTTGGAAAAGCTGACGTGCTTCTCTCTGTGAAGGCGCAGGGATGGAGGCCAGAAGCAAACCCCAGTTCCTGGTGCTCCTGACACTTTTCAGTGTCCTCTTCTCTCAGACATTGGCCTGGCCCCTTTTTGGACCACCTTCTGCTCTGAGGTAAGTTTACCTGAAGGGAAATAGATTCATGTCAACTAAGAAAACCATACATTAGAACTATATTAGCTTACTTTTTCCTTCTAGTTTACAAAGATGGTTGACTTCCAGTCAGCTACTTGGACAGTCCCTGGGCTAAATGGGAACTTCCTATGTGTTTTGTTTTGGACACTGAAAGTTTTAAAATGATGTATTATTTACTTCAGTCTTTTTATGACTGTATTGAGCAAGTCATTTTTCCAACATTAAAGCAACTTGACTCTTCCAATCCTATTAATTAACCTTGAAGGCATGAGAGACAGAATTAGTGGTTATTTCTGAAAGACAAGCAGATCCCATTCTCAAACATGGTCGAAGGGATATTGGCTTTCATTCAAATCAGTACTAAATAAGTAATGATTTTTTTTGCACTCTAGTTTCAGTTCAGTTCAGTTTCTGGTAGGAAAATATGTCATTTTGGTTCATTTTTAAGACCAATCAATAAATGGTCATGAGATAATAGTTTATTCAAGAAATATGTATAAGTTTATGTTGGTCAGAAATTGAGCTAGGAAAAAATCATTTTTTCAGTATCAAAAATTGAGTGTTCCTTGGTATACAAAATATACACTCCCTTAGAATGTGCTTATTGGGAATCAGAAATCCTTAGTTTTACTGTTTGTTGTGTCTTTCTAATTCATAGAACATACCACAGCTCTAAGAGACGTTTACTGCAGTAGAATAGATGTGTGTTAAACGAGTATACAGTAAATCAAAACTACATGAGTTTGAGTTTTCCTTCCAGTTTACAAACAACACTCTAGCTAAGGGCGAATGATCGTTTCTTTGCTTATTTGCCCATTCCTGTTTCTTTGCTCAACAGGGTGAGTGGTTGCTCAGCTGTTGGCGTTTGCTGTGAAGTTTGTTTAAAGCCAACTTCTCTTTCACCTTGACAATGAAAGGGAACCATTTCTCTCTGCATGGTTGCATCACAGCACACAAACAATCACACGAAGGCTGAAGGCTGCTTCGACTGTCAGGCCTCACATCTACCATTGCCACACAAGGACCTCAAAAGCTGACCAATAGCTAAGAGTCCTTGCAAGTTCACCCTACTGCTGAACATAGGCACATGTATAATTTTAAAAGTGTGCCTTACTAAAGATGTACATGCATCTACATCAGGGTTATACATTCGATTGAGATAGATGGATAAATAGATAGACAGACAATTATTAGTCTTGCAATATAGCATGGTTTATCCCTTATTAAAGTTGTGTTAATGTATAAGATCAGAAGGCTCACAAAAATTTACTCATTTTGAGTACCTACTCATAAATGGGCAGATTCTTTGGATTTTTATCAATACAGAGAAATACATTATGTCTAAGTAAAACTTATAAGCAAAGCTTAGGGTTTTAGAGGGAAGAAAAGCAGTTACTACTCAGCTCTTGAAAGGTATTTTGGACAATTGATATGAAATATCACCACATACATGAATCACTGTTGGGTTTTACACTGAATAGTCAATTCTTTCCAGATTATTACTTTGTTTAAAAATCTACCTACCTATTAAATTTGACTTTACAAAGTAAATATATTCTTATTGGAGTGAATACAAGAGAGTATATTTATCTAATGCTTTGATACGACTAAGTTAAGTAGCATTTGTGTTTGGTATATGTAGCTTGTAAGAGCTGATAGAATCTACTCTATGAGAGTATAAGAACTTTACTTTTGATATTTTCATTAACCATAGAGGCCATTATCCAATTCTTACATTGTAGAGGAGTGATATTTCCCATGGTGTTGGGTATCTTATTTCAAATCGTTAAAAACCATGAGTTCCAGCTTCTGAGAAAGAAGTGAATTATACTTCTATTGTGCTCCTTCTTGTAGGGCGGAAGACAGAGTCCAATTTGAAGGAGGAAATGAGCCTGACCAAGTTTCATTAAAAGCAGATGCTGACATCTTGCAAAATGCATTGGCTGAAAATGACACACCTTATTATGATGTGTCCAGGTGGGTTTGCTTTTACTGCTCTATTTCATTTAGAACATATATTTTGGAGATATACATGGGCTAGTTTCATCTCACCACAGAGATAGTACTGGATCACAACACTCTATTTCTCTATTTTATGGCTCTGTTCAAGATGCTTTACATCACCTGTAACAGCTATGTGAGATTTTCGTGTAGAAAGTTTATATCCAGCTATAATGAACACATGGTTTATCTGCATTCTATTGCATATCATTTTTGACATCACTGATTGGGACAATTCTGATAAAACTATAGAATGTATTATTTCCCGATAGAAGAGGAACTGAGGAAATAGACCCACCTTTATGTAAACAAAAGGTGTCTAATAGTTACTGCTGTTTATTCATAGAAATGCTTGTCGAGAATAACTTTTCAATATAGATCAAATACTCTAAGCACAAAGTATAAATGATTTCTTATTTTCTTGGAAAAGTAGTGAATAGGCTCTAAAATCTTCTTTGTCTTAAAAGATTTTTTCCTGTAAGTATTTTGGTAGAAAAAAATAACAAACTATACACTATATTTCTTCATTTGTGACAGTCAACATATTTTTTCATTATCTGTACCTCCATTTGGGTAGCAGAAAAAGACCACGGATATATGAAAACTATATACTTACAGCACCATTTTATAGAAATGAATTTAAAAGACTCCTCTAGGGCATAGTAAGGAAAACTAGTTCTAAATAACTTGTTTCTTTAATTTTTCAAAGCCCAAGGCTAGAGATTCAAAATATATCTAGATACAAGTGACTAGAAACCATCCTTATGTTAGAGTATTAGAAAACTTTGCTTTCCACAATATTTTAATGGGCAGCTTTCATAAGAAACTGATTTTTTGTTACTGTGTAAGCCAATGTAATATTCTAGAAAACTATTTACAAAATAGAATTGTCTTTCCTTCCTTGTTTTAGAAACACCAGACATGCTGATGGAGTTTTCACTAGTGACTTCAGCAGACTCCTTGGTCAACTTTCTGCTAAAAAGTACCTTGAATCCCTTATTGGAAAACGAGTTAGGTAAAGAGAATTCATTGCTTTTATCAGCTATATTATCATCGCTCAATCTACAAATTGTATCTTCCTTGTTGATAAGTTATTCATCCTTTTAAAAATCAGTATCTCTTTGATAATGTTTGTTTTACTGTGGATGAAGGAAATACAGTTTGTTCATTGACACCAGACACATGCATATATAAGTACTATTCATTTACAACTCCATGAGTGAATTCCAATAGACTCTATAGAAAATGGCTTGGAACATCTTGGTGTATTTGCCATTTCCTGTTAAAGCCCTTGGTTTCTGTTTTTCTCACATTTCTTAGCAGTACTATCTCAGAAGACCCTGCACTAATCAAACGACACTCGGATGCTGTATTCACTGACAACTACACCCGTCTTAGAAAACAAATGGCTGTGAAGAAATACTTGAACTCAATTCTGAATGGAAAGAGGAGGTAAAGACAGAGAAGTTGCAATGAGGAAATGACAAGTAGTCTTCAAAAGTTAAGCTACATATGGAGGCCTCTGTCTGTCTGCCTGCCTTTCTGTCTCACATACGTGTGCACGCGTGTGCGTATACACACACGCATGTACACACACTCCTTGTTTATGTGAGGTGGTCATTCTCAGCTGTGGGCTACATTAGGTGACCTTGAACAATTTTTCAGATACTGATGCCTGGCTGTTAACCTAGGGAAGTTGCGAGGAAGTCAGTACTTATGAGGGTAAGATCTAGAGATTGGTAGCTGTTTAGGACTCTACTCCAGTTGATGCTGTTGTGCACCAGAGTTAAAATGATGGCTCCTTTAACTCTGGGAACATGTTATCAAAACTGTTGATTTTAAAAAGCATATAAAGGGCTTTTAGCAATTTAGAAATGTGTGCAGATCCCTTCAGATGCTTATCAAATTTAATCATAAAGTATTTTGTATATTTAAATTCCATACATAAGCAAACATAGACACCCCCACCCCCCGCAAGTGCAGGAAGTAATCTTTTTTGTTTGTTTTTGTTTTTGTTGGTTGTGGGGCTTGAACTCTGGGCCTGGGCGCTGTCCCTCAGCTCTTCAGCTCAAGGCTAGCTCTCTACCACTTGAGCTACAGTGTCACTTCTGGTTTTCTGGTGGTTTATTGGAATAAGAGTTTCACGGACTTTCCTGCCTGGGCTGGCTTTGAACCACAATCCTCAGATCTCAGCCTCCTGAATTGCTAGGATTACAGGCGTGACCCACTGGCGCCCAACTATCTTTTTTATTCATTTATTTTTTTACTTTTTTTTGCACATGCTGAATATTATGGATAATTCTGTTTGTGTAAGATCAGACAAGATTCTTCTTTTCTCATTAAAAGACATTAATTTAATAATTTTAGATATGAAGGCTGAGGCACAAATCCATGGGTAATAAGTACTCTCAGAGATGATTGTTTTAGAACACAAACAATAGCCAGGACAGAGCAAGAAGAATCATCTAGACATTATGTGGTCACAGCTCTTCTGGAGCCTTTCTCCGGTGACAGTGTTAACATGCGCCATTTCCTCTTTCTGATCTGCAGCACTGAGGGAGAATCTCCTGACTTCCCTGAAGAGCTAGAAAAATGATGAAAAAGCTTTCTGGCCCAATGCTAAGGATTAGTGGTGAGTGTGTCTTGCGCTTTTACTGTATTCCTTCAGCTATCAGCAGAATGTACACGTAGGGAGGAGTCACTTGGTGAGAAACCTCACAGGACTAAATAGTGTTTCTACCCTGAGCCTCATCTATGGGTGCCTCTACCCGAAGTAGGCCAAACCCAGCAAACAACTAAAAATGACTCTCACAATGTTCCATCACATAAAAGAGACAACTTGCCATGAGCAGTTTGGTATTAGTCTGGTATTTCTAGTTTATTCAGCCTTATTCCTGTCCTTGTATTGAGATGAAAAACAGAGAAGCCTGATTCACACTCAGGAGAAAATCTGGCTTTCCTTTTGGGGAACTGTACTAGGCTGCTTTTATTAACTTAACAGTCAGTCCTATGATTGTCTGTTAGCTCTTCATTTAATTTAAGTGTGGGGAAATATCACCAAATGATAGAGTGGCTCGTGATCCTAAAACACCAAGACACTCTGGGTCTAATTGCTTTCCTTGAAATATGGTGAACATATTGCAATGAAAGTCACACATTGAGCTGTGAATTGTATTTAAGCACTAAAATCCCAGTAGCATTAACTGTAAATATGTTCTGAGTGGAGAAAGCATGCACAGATTTTTGTATTGCAAAGTGCTGGGCTGGCTATCAAAATTACTTCATATAACCATAGATACAAAATACATTGCCCCAAGATTATGGAAACACTGTTCACATTACCTCATGCAAATCTGTTTATAAAACTTGACAATGCATCACCAGACTAATGGCTAGCATTTTTTTTTCTCTGAAAGGCTATGATGGCTTCTGTTACAACTATTTAAACCCTTTTATTGCACACAACAGCCACAGATAATACATAAAATGAATGGGAGTGGCTGGTTCCAATAAAACTTTATAAAACTTGAAGCGGAAGGTATTCCAGCTCTCACCAGGGTATGGAGATAAATCTCATGTGCAGGCTCAAGTTAATTTGTCATCTCATCTCAGTTCCTAGTATGGTTATCTAAGGTTTTCAAAAGTCACAAGGTTTTCAGAAGTCACAAGGTATCTGAACGTTATCTGTTCCATTAGTTACTTTTGTCCACTGACTACCCTTCGTCTCTAAGAGAGGTGTGGAGTGAGGAACTATCTCCTCCAACAATGCTTTATTACTTGTAGACATTTGAGAGACCTCTGCTTAAAGGTGAAATCCGCTTACATCCAACTGCTTGAAAAAATATGAATATTAAGAAGCCTTCTCTACCAAATTAAGAAAGATGATAAGCAGACTTTGTAAAATAAGATGTTTCTTGGGGAAAAGTGGCTTCAGACAGGTTCTTTGAGCAGGAAAGCCTGTGGGTTAGCTACTTGTGAAAGGTGTAAATACATAATTATTGATGACCAGTTAGAGAGCCTTTTCACATTCCAGTTCCTTTGTGACAATCAGTCTTCTAGAAGGCTCTCTTGATTCTGGTAGCCATCATCCCTTGTCAGTAAAAGACAAAGACAAAAAGATGTTTACCAAACAGGTTGACAAGTAAGTGAAACTAAGACACTGTAAATACAACTATTTTGTGCATAAAGCACTATTTTTTTTTCTTTTTCAGAATTCTTGAAGGAAAACATCAATAGACAAAGTCGTTACATTTTGAGTTCTACATAAGTAATTCAAGAAAAAACTTCAATAGCAAAACCAAAAGAAATACATTGTGTTGTGAATGTTGTGATTTCTTTCATTCTGATGTGATCATTGTGATGTTTATATTGTAAATATTATTTGAGAGTTGTAAAGTTTGTCTTTAGCTCATGAAAGACCTGTAATTTCATATGCTATATATTCTTTCTAACAAATATGTATTGAATGATTAATAGATACTAGGTTAATTCCACTTATCTGATGCTTTTTGGAAATGTAGCAATAGAAAAAAATTGATGCATTTATTTATAGAGCATAGTTAGCTCTTCAGAGTAGAAAAGATAATCAGAGTGTCTAAATTTTAATGATTGTTAAAACAACTTTAAATATGTGAGAGAATATTAAGGAGATAAAAACATGCTTCAAAACAATTCCCAGAAAAACATATAATTTCCACATTTATGGCAACTGTCTCTCAAATGGGATTTAAGATTTCTTAAATTAGGATCTCTGTTCATCAGATGATTTCTTCTGACCTTATGTCTTATTAAGGGAGAATGACCTTGTGTACTATGACCTTGGACTCTCCCTTATGCTTGTGCTAAGTATGTGGGAAAAAAAGTAATCTGAATAAAACACTTGTTTTTTATTAATTTTTTTCCCATAAGCCCTCAGAATGATGTTTGGTCCTAACAGCTTCCTTCGGTGACAGTACATTTGGAGATATGACTATTTTTCCAAAGCGATTGTAAGAAATTAACATGGAAAATAAAGACCTTTGATTATCATTGCAGATACTTCTGAGTTTTTTGATTCTTTTGAATGATTCTGTTGTAATTTAGTCCTAAAGTTCTAAGTACTGCACAGTTTTGTGTTTGAAGGACTGTGTTTAGTAGTGTGTAAGTCCTAGCAATGACTTAAATAATCAAGAAAGGTTTCTTCCTCACATAGACCCTAAGAAAATATCAAAATTTGGCCTGATGTTACTGGAAGTCCTAGGAAATTACATCTTTCCCACCCACCTCTTATCCTCATAGCCCACATTCACAGCTAAGGTTCCAACCATTATATTGAAATTCCAGGCATCCATGAAGGAAAGAACATGGAAAAGGGCAAAAGTACATACTGGTTCTCTTTGAACTCATCATCTTAAACCAACATCTCCTTAACTGCAACATTCTACAAAAGCCAAGGTTATTTGTAGGAGCAGCTGGGAAATTTAGTTGTTCCCCCACAGACACACCTCCTGGACCATGTACTTTACCAGTATACAAGAATTGAAGTGCTAGATTTATGTCATTTTTTAACTCTCACCAAAAATGTTTAAAGAAATAACAAACATCCTAATCATTAATAAAGCAGCATTATCTCCCAAGTAAGATTGATATTCCATTCTGAAAAGTATTAAGACCTGACCTCCTAATGGTTGAAAGTGCTTTGGCTTTTCTTTTGAATGAGATAGAAAGCCTTGAAAGGATTTTCACCAGTGGCTTCCTCAAGGAGGACGGGTGGACTGATACAGTAAATGGGTCGAAGAAAACAGAAAGGGGAGCGGGATTCTAGCTCTGACTATAAACAACTTCAGGGGTATTTTCCTATTCAGGAAGCAAAAGGAAGACAGTGCACATGGAAAATACATATGCATGGTTTGGTATGCGACCATATTTCATTTTCTGTTGCTATAGTGCAATTGCAGAGTAAGTTGTAAGGAATGAAAGTTGGCCTGGATTACAGGTTTGGAGAGTGACATCTGGTAAGGGTTGTCCTGCGGCATCGTGGCACGGTGGGTGACTTAAGCATCCGGACTAGACTGGTGTCAATGAAAAAGGCAAGAAAGGACAGTAATAGCTCCCAAAAAGGTGGAGAGCAAGTAATGAAGGTCAGACTCACAAAAACATCCTGTACTGAGGTAACACGCCACTCCCCAAACAACCATCTTAGCCTACTCTTGAGGACAGAGCCCTTGGGACCTAAAGCTGAGATCTCACCTTCTCAGATGATTACAATGGCAATTGAATTCTAATATGAGCTCTGAAGGGTCACCCGTATGAACCCACACACTGAAGGATGAATTCCAACAAAGGGCAATGGTGATGCCAAAGGAAAAGCTAACTTTTATTTTCATCATCACCTAAGAATAAAAAGGAAGTGGAAGATAAATAAATAGACCCTGACCTGCCCCAAGTACCTGCAACCATAGTAACAGCACAGTGAGGGTCAAAGGACTATTGTGGGATGCATCTTCTGAAGACACCTACAGCTGATTTAGAGGTAAGAGGCAAGGAAGGCAAACATTTGTGGAAGAATTTGCTAGCTTAGCAAGCAAGAAGGAGGAAAACAGTTTTCACATTTGAAGAGCTCTGTTTTGAATGAGATGGGCTAGAAATATGGGTCACAATAAAACATTTGGGATTAGTTTTGGAAAGTTTAGTGAAATTAGGCCTGCTTTTTATACTTGTATGGTATTTGCTCAATCTACTTGTCTATGTGTGTGGAATTGGGGGGGGGGGGCTTGTCTTCTCTTCAGCTCCATGGGTCCAGTGACCATGTAGTGGTTGGATTCAGTTGTGGCAAGGAGACCCTGTAACCTGGAGAAATTGATTGTAGACCACTGAAGTCATCGAAGGTGCCGTAACGGGTACTCTGAACTAGACTAGTGCCGATGAGAAAGGCAAGGAAGGACAGTAATAGCTCATGCTTAGATAGTCTATAGCAACCGCTTTTGGGGGGGCTATTTATCATGCAATTTTTATGTCAACATTTTGCAGGGTACACTATTCTTCAATCTATTTTTCAGATAAGGAAACTGAAGCACAAAGAAAAGATAAAAGAACCTAAGCTTCAGAGAGGAATGTGGAAATTCCCTTCCCAATCCAGAGTCTCTTCATGAGTCTTTCTTAAATACCTAGAAAGAAGAAGAATGTTCCAGGGAAGATGCTTGTATTTTTAATCCCGATTTATATTATCATTAATTAATAACTGTACAATCAGCAACACAATCACTATTTGTACTTGAAATACAAAAGGTAAAGAAATGCAGCAGTGATAGCCACTAGACACTGTGGGAAATGAACTACACAACTTGTAGATGGAGTCAGGAGGGAAAATCTGGGAGAGAGAAGGAAGAGGTGACATTATCAAAAAAGAAATGTACACTTCTCCTGACTTATGTAACTGTAACCCCTCTGTACATTACCTTTACAATAACAATAAAAGGAAATAGGCCAGGTGAAGGTGGCTTCCACCTATAATCTTAGCTCCTCAGGAAGATGAGATTTGATGATTGTGGTTCAAAGTCATCCCAGGAAGCAAAGTTCACCAGACTCTACTTCCAATTAACCACATACATAAAGTATAAAGTAAATATAACAAAGAAAAGGAAGGGTGACACTGTCCAAGAGAAATGTACTCTTTACCTAACTTATGTAACTGTAACCTATCATTTTTGAAGTATTAATAATAGTTATGCTAGTCGTTCATATACCATAAATTAAACTTGTCACGGCATTGTGGTAGGCAGCATACTGGCTCCTAAAAATGCTGATATCTGAAGTGGATCAAGAGTCAGAGGGTGCAGGTGGCCCCAGGAAGCCAGAGAGAAGGAAGGCATTACCTCCTCCATGGGAAGCCCTGCAGTCCTGCAGATACCTTGCTATATGCCATGCAAGGCTGAATTGTAGACTTCTCATCTCCAGAACTGTCAAATAGTAACTACATGCTGGTTGAAGCTGCCAGAGCTCTGGTGACTTGTTTGAGAAGCAACAGAACATGAATGCAATCTCATTCCTAAATTATAATGGATCTGAGTCTCTTGTCTACCACTTTAGGAGAAGGCCAAACCACTGGAGTAAAATGTTCCTTGAGACTTCAGTGTTATCCCAGGAAGAAAAGGTCAAAACTTGAATTTGCTCAGGGTAACCCTGAATTATCTCAAGTGATTAAAAATAGAATGAAATGTGCATTTTTTTTACCATATAAAGTGCTTGAAGTCCATTCAGTTATAAAATACAGTCATGTTTTTATGCATCTGAGTTCAAAATGAGAATATCGATGTCTCCTATAATTTTGTTAGAAATATATCTATATCTATCTATCTATATATATGCATATATATTGTTTTTGCAGCACTGTAGATTAGATTGAATTTGGGTCCTGGTGCTTTCGAAGTAAGCACTCTACCATTTGAGCCACACCCCCAGTCCTTTTATTTTTAGTTTGTCTTTAGATAAGGTCTCATGCTTTTGCTTAGGCAGGTCTGGGACCATGATGTTCCTCTCTCTCTCTCCTTAGTAGCTGAGTGAAATCATTATTTGTAGATCCATTTAAAGAAAGATCAAAGCTTTTTTTAAAAAAATAAACATAAGTTAAAAGGAAATACTAGAAAGAAAAAACAAGATAGTCTAAAGATACTTAAAAAGACAGTGCATGTATAAAGCATGGATCTAATGTGGGAAGAAATTAATTCTTGGACTTTATAAATGGCCTAAGCTAAAACATAACTTAGTAGGGCTGAAGGTGTACATGCAGAGAACATGTTTACGAGGCACAAGGCCCTTGGTTCTGTCCCCAGCACCACAAACAATCCATCAATTAGTATCATTTAATAAAAGAATATGTCACAATCAGGCCAACTACTCAAAATGTTAGAGATGAATCAAATATAAAAAGAGGACTTATAGATAACTGATTAAAAGCTTTTTTTTAATCTGACCAATAAAAGTTTCAGAAAAAGAGAACAGAGACAGGGAAGAGAAAATAACATAAGACATACCAGAAAATAATTGTTACTTCCCCTGGATTATATTTCTTTTATGATCTGACTGATTTTATCAATAGGTTAATACATATTATGCCCCACAGTGACTGTCCTAGAATGCTTCTTGGTTTGCTAAATCTTTTAGTTTGGGATTACATTCTTTGTTAAGGAGCAAAAAAATATTTCTTGATAACCAGTTCTTAGCATGGGAAATGAATAATCTTCTAGACATCTTAACTGTGCTTATTTTCACAACTTTTAGGGTGATATATTTCAAATATTTAGTTTTCTATCATCTCCATAAAGAACTAAAGTTAGCCTCTCCATTTTAGTCAAGTTATACCTTTTGGGCTTTAAACGTTTACATATAAATCAGAATGCAGTACAACATATATTACTATTACTACTAGTAACAGTATATTACCACTAGTAACAGTACTCATGTCTCATTTCTGAACTTCAGTCACAGAATTTCAGTCTGATGGGATCTATCAAAGATAAGAGACTGCTATTTCTGTAACAGATCCATGCATCCTTAAGAACTTTAGAACTACAAATTTTAGTAGATCTAACTATTAGAAAACGATCCCACCTGGTTTATTCGC